GTTAGAGTGTGTGTGTGTTAGAGAGAGTGTGAGTGTGTGTGTGTTAGAGTGTGTGTGTTAGACAGTGGTGTGTGTGTTAGAGAGAGTGTGAGTGTGTGTGTGTTAGAGTGTGTGTGTGTTAGAGAGAGTGTGTGTGTTAGAGAGTGTGAGTGTGTGTGTTAGAGAGAGTGGTGTGTGTGTGTTAGAGAGTGTGGTGTGTGTGTTTTAGAGAGAGTGGTGTGTTAGAGAGAGTGGTGTGTGTTAAAGAGAGTGTGTGTGTTAGAGAGAGTGGTGTGTGTGTTAGAGAGTGTGTGTGTTAGAGAGTGTGCGTGTGTTAGAGAGTGTGTGTGTGTTAGAGAGAGTGTGAGTGTGTGTGTTAGAGAGAGTGGTGTGTGTGTGTGTTAGAGAGTGTGTGTGTGTTAGAGTGTGTGTGTTAGAGAGTGTGTGTGTGTTAGAGTGTGTGTGTTAGAGTGTGTGTGTGTTAGAGAGAGTGGTGAGTGTGTTAGAGAGAGTGGTGAGTGTGTTAGAGAGAGTGGTGAGTGTGTGTGTTAGAGAGTGTGTGTGTGTTAGAGAGAGAGAGTGGTGTGTGTTAGAGAGAGAGTGGTGTGTGTTAGAGAGAGAGTGTGTGTGTTAGAGAGTGTGTGTGTGTGTTAGAGAGAGAGTGTGTGAGTGTGTTAGAGAGTGTGTGTGTTAGAGAGTGGTGTGTGTGTTAGAGAGAGTGTGAGTGTGTGTGTGTGTTAGAGAGTGTGTGTGTGTTAGAGAGAGAGTGGTGAGTGTGTGTGTGTGTTAGACAGAGAGTGGTGAGTGTGTTAGAGACTGTGTGTGTGTTAGAGAGAGAGTGTGAGTGTGTGTGTGTTAGAGTGTGTGTGTGTGTGTGTTAGAGAGTGTGTGTGTTAGAGAGAGTGGTGTGTGTGTTAGAGAGAGTGGTGTGTGTGTGTGTGTGTTAGAGAGTGTGTGTGTGTTAGAGAGAGTGGTGAGTGTGTTAGAGAGAGTGGTGAGTGTGTTAGAGAGAGTGGTGAGTGTGTGTGTTAGAGAGTGTGTGTGTGTTAGAGAGAGAGAGTGGTGTGTGTTAGAGAGAGAGTGGTGTGTGTTAGAGAGAGAGTGTGTGTGTTAGAGAGTGTGTGTGTGTGTTAGAGAGAGAGTGTGTGAGTGTGTTAGAGAGTGTGTGTGTGTTAGAGAGTGGTGTGTGTATTAGAGAGAGTGTGAGTGTGTGTGTGTGTTAGAGAGTGTGTGTGTGTTAGAGAGAGAGTGGTGAGTGTGTGTGTGTGTTAGACAGAGAGTGGTGAGTGTGTTAGAGACTGTGTGTGTGTTAGAGAGAGAGTGTGAGTGTGTGTGTGTTAGAGTGTGTGTGTGTGTGTTAGAGAGTGTGTGTGTGTGTGTGTGTTAGAGAGAGTGGTGTGTGTGTTAGAGAGAGTGGTGTGTGTGTGTGTTAGAGAGTGTGTGTGTGTTAGAGTGTGTGTGTTAGAGTGTGTGTGTGTTAGAGAGAGTGGTGAGTGTGTTAGAGAGAGTGGTGAGTGTGTTAGAGAGAGTGGTGAGTGTGTGTGTTAGAGAGTGTGTGTGTGTTAGAGAGAGAGAGTGGTGTGTGTTAGAGAGAGAGTGGTGTGTGTTAGAGAGAGAGTGTGTGTGTTAGAGTGTGTGTGTGTGTGTTAGAGAGAGAGTGTGTGAGTGTGTTAGAGAGTGTGTGTGTGTTAGAGAGTGGTGTGTGTGTTAGAGAGAGTGTGAGTGTGTGTGTGTGTTAGAGAGTGTGTGTGTGTTAGAGAGAGAGTGGTGAGTGTGTGTGTGTGTTAGACAGAGAGTGGTGAGTGTGTTAAAGACTGTGTGTGTGTTAGAGGGAGAGTGTGAGTGTGTTAGAGTGTGTGTGTGTGTTAGAGTGTGTGTGTGTGTTAGAGAGTGTGTGTGTGTGTTAGAGAGTGTGTGTGTGTGTTAGAGAGAGAGTCGGGTCCCGTGAGAGAGTGAGGGGGGGCGTGGGGGGCAACCGTGTCGCTCGTGCCGGGACTCTGAGCCAGGTTGGGTCTCCACGTAGGGGGGGGGGCCGTAGAGGGTCGTGGGGGGCCCTGGGTAAGGCGAGGGGTGGGGGTGCTGAGTGTGGAGCTGCTGGCGAGGGTGACGGGAGGAGGAGGAGGCAGGAGGCAGGAGTTCATCTCCTGACGCAGCCCACGCGGAATGAGGGCGTGGGGGACGGCCTCGCCCCTCGCAGGCCACGACACTCCACCACACTCCACCTCACTCCACCTCACTCCACCACACTCCACCACACTGCACCACACTCCACCACGCTCCACCACGCTCCACCACACTGCACCACACTCCACCACACTCCACCACACTCCACCACACTCCACCACACTCCACCACCCTCCACCTCACTCCACCTCGCTCCACCACACTGCACCACAATCCACCACACTCCACCACACTGCACCACACTTCACCACCCTCCACCACACTCCACCACACTCCACCACCCTCCACCACACTCCACCACACTCCACCACACTCCACCACACTGCACCACACTCCACGACACTCCGCCACACTCCACCACCCTCCACCTCACTCCACCACACTCCACCACACTCCACCACAATCCACCACACTCCACCACACTGCACCACACTCCACCACACTCCACCACACTCCACCACCCTCCACCACACTCCACCACACTGCACCACACTCCACCACACTGCACCACACTCCACCACACTCCACCTCACTCCACCTCACTCCACCACACTGCACCACCGTCCACCACGCTGCACCACGCTCCACCACACTCCACCACACTCCACCACGCTCCACCTCGCTCCACCACACTCCACCACAATTCACCACACTGCACCACACTGCACCACACTCCACCACACTGCACCACCCTCCACCACACTCCACCACACTCCACCACAATCCACCACACTCCACCTTGCTCCACCACACTCCACCACAATTCACCACACTGCACCACACTGCACCACACTCCACCACACTGCACCACCCTCCACCACACTCCACCACACTCCAGCATACTGTACAAAACTTCACCACACTCCACCACACTGCACCACACTCCACCACACTGCACCACACTCCACCACAATCCACCACACTCCACCACACTCCACCACACTGCACCACACTCCACCACACTCCACCACACTGCACCACACTCCACCACACTCCACCTCACTCCACCACACTGCACCACCCTCCACCACACTGCACCACGCTCCACCACACTCCACCACACTCCACCACACTCCACCTCGCTCCACCACACTCCACCACAATTCACCACACTGCACCACACTGCACCACACTCCACCACACTGCACCACACTCCACCACCCTCCACCACACTCCAGCATGCTGCACAAAACTTCACCACACTGCACCACACTGCACCACACTCCACCACACTGCACCACACTCCACCACACTGCACCACACTCCACCACACTGCACCACACTGCACTACACACCACACGTACCACTCATCACACAGAAACACGACGCACACAACCACCGATACGCACCCACAACACCACAAGCAAGCGCTGTTCTCCACTAAGTGACGGCGACGCCACCACAGCGCTTGTGCCAGGCTAGGTGCACTTTGAGACCACGTGAAGTGTCCAAGGCTCGCTGGCAGGAGGTCATGATACAGACCCAGCAGGTGCCATGGGTCGACTGACTGAGATGACCGGCAGATACATCACCAGCTGTGCTCCCTACTGTGCCAACTTGCTGCGTTTTACCCACCCAGCGCTACGCCCGTTGTTGTGAGCGTCGCTCCTCTGCCCTCCGTTGTTGCTGGAGGGTGACTGCCTCCAACTGCCCAGTAGCAGCAGCGGCGTCCTTCACGAGCCTCCTCCATAGAGGCCGATATTGACACCGCTGGTACCGGCCATCGACAAGTCCACTCAGCTCCACGTCCTTCCGTAGTGCATCAGCGCCATCTCTTCTGTAGTCAGTGGCGTGCCCGTTTAGCCCCCTCTATCCGGCCAAACAGAAGTTGATTGGGTATACGATGACTGGGCATGCGGGCTACATGACCCGGCCAACGCAGCCTCGCCTGCCGGAGGAGCTCAGTGATTGGAACTGTGTCCAGATCTCTCAAGGATCTGTGAGCTGCTCACACTATCCACGATTGGTGAGACCCAGGCCAGCCTGAATGTTGCAAACAGCACAGTTGTTCCTGTAAAGGGGGCCCACGTTTCACAGAGCATAGAGAAGGGAGGGTTGCGGTAATAAGAAGATCCCGGAGCCTTTGCAATGGTGCGATAGGCCGAGGGTATACACACAAAGCGCTACGTACAGCTGATCAAGGAGCTATTCCGCTCGGCTGATTTGAGACCTCCGCTACCAAACGGGAGCCGGTCATGAACATGCCGCGCAGGTACAGAGAGACGCCTCCACTCTCTCCACAACTGCCTCCATAACTCGTGGGCAGTGGATGGGGTTGAGAATTTGATGACAGCTTAGCTGGCTTCTGCGGGGCTGACGCACGTACGCATGTATGTTGAACTTCTTTCGCGCCGTGCGCAGCCTACCATGCGAATGGGAGGTGCGGGGGAAGGTCAGCAGAGCCTCCAACTCCTTCTCAGACTGAGCAGTAGGAAAGCTCACCCTTGACTTCACCTGGTCATCGATCAGCCTCCCATTGTATCTGCATCAGATGGAAAATGCTCTGGTACAGCAGTAAAAGCGTCTCGAGCTACAAAGACGATGTTAGATAGTGGCGGGGCCAGGGGACATCCCTGTCGCGCCCCCGAGGTGAACAGGGAATGTCTCCAACTCCCGGACACGAAGCTTTACCCGGGCCTGCCCATCACCAAGGTCCTTAATGATCGTGAGCAGAGGGCCAGGGACCTCGCACGCACGAAAAACAACCCAGAGGCCTGGCCTATTGATGGTATCATAACCCTTGACCAGGTCAACGAAGCCACGATATGTATGTGCTGTTCGCATTCTCTACACCTCTGCTGTAGCAGATTGACAGAGAAAATATTGCGTCTGTGTAGGACCGCCCCGGTCTGAAACCACACTGGGGCTCCGCAAGCCTCTCCTCAGCACTCCGCCTGGCAAGGCGATGTTGAATAATCCTTGCCAGGATCTGTGCCGGCCTCGCACTGAGGAGGGAGATGCCCAGGTAGTTCTTGCAATCATGCCACCAGCACCACCAGCACACTCGCATACCTACACCACCAGCACCACCAGCACACTCACATACCTACACCAGCACCACCACCACACTCACATACCTACACCACCAGCACCACCAGCACACTCACATACCTACACCAGCACCACCACCACACTCATATATCTACACCACCAGCACCACCACCACACTCACATACCTACACCACCAGCACCACACTCACATACCTACACCATCAGCACCACCACCACACTCACATACCTACACCACCAGCACCACCACCACACTCACATACCTACACCACCAGCACCACCACCACACTCACATACCTACACCACCAGCACCACCACACTCACATACCTACACCACCAGCACCACCAGCACACTCGCATACCTACACCACCAGCACCACCACCACACTCACATACCTACACCACCAGCACCACCAGCACACTCGCATACCTACACCAGCACCACCACCACACTCACATACCTACACCACCAGCACCACCACCACACTCACATACCTACACCACCAGCACCACCAGCACACTCACATACCTACACCACCAGCACCACCACCACACTCACATACCTACACCACCAGCACCACCACCACACTCACATACCTACACCACCAGACTCACATACCTACACCACCACCACACTCACATACCTACACCATCAGCACCACCACCACACTCACATACCTACACCACCAGCACCACCACCACACTCACATACCTACACCACCAGCACCACCATCACACTCGCATACCTACACCAGCACCACCACCACACTCACATACCTGCACCACCACCACACTCACATACCTACACCACCAGCACCACCACCACACTCACATACCTACACCACCAGCACCACCACCACACTCATATACCTACACCAGCACCACCACCACCACACTCACATACCTACACCACCAGCACCTCCACCACACTCACATACCTACACCACCAGCACCACTACCACACTCACATACCTACACCACCAGCACCACCAGCACACTCGCATACCTACACCAGGACCACCACCACACTCACATACCTACACCACCAGCACCACCACCACACTCACATACCTACACCACCAGCACCACCACCATACTCACATACCTACACCACCAGCACCACCAGCACACTCGCATACCTACACCACCAGCACCACACTCACATACCTACACCACCAGCACCACCACCACACTCACACCACCAGCACCACCACCACACTCACATACCTACACCACCACCACCGCCACCACCACACTCACATACCTACACCACCAGCACCGCCACCACCAACACCACACTCACATACCTACAGCACCAGGACCGCCACCACCACCACCACACTCACATACCTACACCACCACCACCACACTCGCATACCTACACCACCAGCACCACCACCACACTCACATACCTACACCACCACCACCGCCACCACCACACTTACATACCTACACCACCAGCACCGCCACCACCAACACCACACTCACATACCTACAGCACCAGCACCGCCACCACCACCACCACCACACTCACATACCTACACCACCACCACCACCACACTCGCATACCTACACCACCACCACCACACTCACATACCTACACCACCACCACCGCCACCACCACACTCAGATACCTACAGCACCAGCACCGCCACCACCACCACCACCACACTCAGATACCTACAGCACCAGCACCGCCACCACCACCACCACACTCACATACCTACACCACCACCACCACCACCACACTCACATACCTACAGCACCACCAGCACACTCGCATACCTACAGCACCAGCACCACCACCACCACCACACTCACATACCTACAGCACCAGCACCGCCACCACCACCACCACCACACTCACATACCTACACCACCACCACCACCACACTCACATACCTAGCCACACTGCCAGCTTCATAGTCCACTTAACGCTCCGAATACAAAACCACATTGAAAAACAACAAAGATCCCCCGTGTAGCCTTAACAGACTGTTGGGGCAAGTGCTGTTAGCGAGTGCCTATGAATGCCGGCACGGCACACACGAGGGGGTGGGTGGCCAGCACCACGCCCGGCCGCCTTTGTCTCCCCAGTGGCGATGTTTACTGAGGTTGAGTCGACCGAGGAGAGGTTCAGAACCGGTTCAGATAATCGGCATTAGTGTTGGCCGTGAGCGGGAATCGAACTCGCTACACTACCGCTCATACACAGAACACACACTACACACACACACACCTCACTCCCCACACACACGCCACATACACCACTCCACACACAGCACACACACACCCCACACACACCACACACACACCTCATGCCACACACACCACAGAAACACCTACACCACACACACCACACCTACACCACACACACACACCACACCCCACAACATAACCCCCACACACACTCCACACACCACACCTACCCCACACACACACCACACCCCACACACACCACACACACATCACACCTCATGCCACACACACACCTCATGCCACACACACCACAGACACCACACCTACCCCACACACACACACCACACCCCACACCAATCACACACCACACCCCACACACACCACACAACACACACACATCACACCCCACTCTATAACCCCCACACACACTCCACACACACACACCACACTCCACACACAGCACACACACACCCCACATACACACACACCACACACACCCCACACACACACACACCTCATGCCACACACACACCTCATGCCACACACACTACACACACACACCACACACACACCACACCCCCCACTCACACACCACACCTACACCACACCCCACACCATAACCCCCACACACACACCACACCAATCACACACCACACCCCACACCCACACACACCCCACCTACACCCCACACCCACACACACCCCACACTATAACCCCCACACACACTTCACACACACCACACCACACACCAATCACACACCACACCCCACACACACCCCACACACACCCCACCTACACCACACCTACACCACACCCCATACCATAACCCCCACACACACACCACACCCCACACCAATCACACACCACACCCCACACACACACACCCCACCTACACCACACACACACCACACACACCACACCCCACCCCACACCCCACACTATAACCCCCACACACACTCCACACACACCACACCACACAGCAATCACACACCACACACCACACTCCACACACACCACACCACACACCAATCACACACCACACCCCACACCACACCCCACTCTATAACCCCCACACACACTCCACACCACACACCACACACCAATCACACACCACACTGCACACCACACTCCACACACTCCACACCACACACCAATCACACACCACACACCACACTCCACACCCCACACACACTCCACACACTCCACACACACCACACCACACACCAATCACACACCAATCACACACCACACACCACACTCCACACCACACCCCACACACACTCCACACACTCCACACCACACCATACACACACCAATCACACACCACACCCCACACCCCACTCTATAACCCCCACACACACCACACACCAATCACACACCACACCCCACACCATAACCCCCACACACACTCCACACACTCCACACCACACACACCACACCACACACCAATCACACACCACACACCACACTCCACCCCACACACACTCCACACACTCCACACCACACCACACACACACCAATCACACACCACACCCCACACCCCACTCTATAACCCCCACACACACCACACACCACACACCAATCACACACCACATCCCACACCATAACCCCCACACACACTCCACACACTCCACACCACACACACCACACCACACACCAATCACACACCACACACCACACTCCACACCACACCCCACACACACTCCACACACACCACACCACACACCAATCACACACCACACACCACACTCCACACCACACCCCACACACACTCCACACACTCCACACCACACACCAATCACACACCACACTCCACACACACTCCACACACTCCACACACTCCACACACACCACACCACACACCAATCACACACCACACTCCACACACACTCCACACACTCCACACACTCCACACCACACCACACACCAATCACACACCACACTCCACACACACTCCACACACTCCACACCACACCACACACCAATCACACACCACACACCACACTCCACACCACACCCCACACACACTCCACACACTCCACACCACACCCCACACACACTCCACACACCACACACCACACACCACACCACACACCACACCCCACACACACTCCACACACTCCACACACACCACACCACACACCAATCACACACCACACCCCACACACACTCCACACACTCCACACACACCACACACCACACCACACACCACACCCCACACACACTCCACACCACACCACACCACACACCAATCACACACCACACTCCACACTCCACACACCACACTCCACACACTCCACACACACCACACACCAATCACACCACGTCAGTCACGGCGGGGGGGCATGGGGGGCATGGGGGGCGGCCGGGCAGGATGTGGTTGAGACCCCCCTCACCCCCCCTCCTCCTCACACCCCCCCTCCTCCTCACACCCCCTCCTCCTCACCCCCCGCCCTCCTCACACCCCCTCCTCCTCACCCCCCGCCCTCCTCACACCCCCTCCTCCTCACACCCCCCTCCTCACCCTCCTCACCCCCACCGCCTCACCCCCCCTCCTCCTCACTCCCTGTCACCACCGTCACGGCGCCCACCGTCTTCTGAGTTTAAGTCTCATTACCCCGCACCCTGCCCGGGGGGAGGGAGAGGAGGAGGGGTGAGGAGGAGGGGGTGAGGAGGGGGGTGAGGAGGAGGGGGTGAGGAGGAGGGGTGAGGAGGAGGGGGTGAGGAGGAGGGGGTGAGGAGGAGGGGGTGAGGAGG